ATGAAGGGAACCAATGTCAGGGGTCTGGAAGGCAATTCTTCCAATGAATGGCTAGACACCTCCATCTGACACCTACAGACAGAACTGAAGTCTACCGACGATCAATAATTTATATACAGAATAGCAGCCAAACTCTTTCCCGTGACCTCCAGCTCCTGAGTTAGAGGGCTATGGCCCTGGCCTTCTGCATCTCTTCTCTTTGCTCACCAGACATCAGCCACATGGCCCCCTCCTCCACCTTGATCAGGCCCAGAGGATTCCCCACCCCATCCCACCCCAGGACCCTTGCAGCAGCAAAGCTCTTCCCTCTGAACTCCGCAGGACTGGCTCCTTACGAGCATTGTTACACACCAATAGCACAGTTAGCATCACACTGCCCTGTTCTGTGGCCTCCACCCCTCAAGTGTGAGTTCAATTCACATTTCAAATTCTCTTATTCTGAATTACCCCATTGTCAGGCATACACACAGACACACACTCAAAATAACTGCAGACATCACAGGAGACTTATCATCTACAGCACATCTGGGCTTCGTTCTTAATAAACAAGAAATGACATCAAGTCACGATACCTATTTTTAATGGCTGTATCATTTTTTTTTTCCATTTTAAACCACGAGGTCTGGCAGGTATACAGGGATTCACAGAATCTAAAATCCACTTGCTCTATGTGTCCTCTACACATTATGGCAAGTCACCCAAAAGTGGTGAGCAGTCACTGAATTCAGAGCCATGCAACCTAAGAGTAAGGAACCACCCGGGCAGAGTTGTAAAATATGCCAGTCCTATGCATCATAGAACAGGAATGCAACTCCAAGAAGGAAGAGCTGAGGTGCTTGGGCCTGGGCGGCTGCTCCAAGGGCGTTGCTCAAGTCCTGGCATGAAGACCAGGCTGGTCCCTGTCTCCAAATGGCTTGCTTCCAGATGTCAACTGTGTTGGCATCCAATGCTAGCAGTAACAGAAAAGCAAAACCAGTATCTAGAGGTCGTCACCTATAAGCTCAGCCCCTCCACCATAACCCGCAGGGGCCTCGCCACAGCCAGTGTGTGGAAACTCAAGTGACTTTGTTGTTTGTTTTTGCTTTTGCAGGGTACTTACAACTGCAGGGTAACATGTTTGTAATAATTTTTGGATGAATTTAAAGGCATTTATTTCCTGCCCAAAACACAACGTGAGGCTCCACCACCCAATCTCACCAAAATCTCCTTCGTGTTGGTACTGTCAGGAAATCAAACTCAACAACCAATCATCACGCCTGTCTGTGATCCCAGCTCCTCAAGAGGCAGAGATCAGGAGGATCAAGCCCAGGCATATAGTTTGCGAGACCCTATCTCGAAAAAATAAAAAAAAGGGTGGTGGAGTGGCTCAAGATGTAGGCTCTGAGTTCAAACTCCAGTATCACACACACACACACACAAAAGCATTCCTTTCTTGGGCTGGAGGCATGGCTTTAAGGGGTGGAGGCAAGAGCCAAGATCAAGGCCCCAAGTTCAAACCCCAACACTGCCAAAAAACTACAACAAAACGCTCCCAAGAAGCACAAAGAAAGTTTTCTGTCTTTGCTCTAATTTCCAACACATATGCCATCAACCCACCTGTCCATCACCCACCCATCTGACCATCCGTTCATCCATCCACCAACAAATCAAGTACATACACAAATACCAGATCCTGGCCTGGGAGGAAAGGGTCACCACTTAAATTCCAGCAGGAAGTCAAATGCTGTTAGCCAACACACAAACCCACAGTGGTCATAACAGTCAGAAATCCAGAAAACTCTGAACACAGGGAGGGTTTTCTGTACCTTTCACATAGACTCATGGGGTAATAAACCCCTACCTGAACGACCTGAGCTTACTATTGGCCCTTCTCTCCTTCATTTCATGGGAATATTCACAGAATTCAAGGCAGAAATAGGGACATGTCCACTGGGAGTGCCGTGGGGCTTGCACTTCCCGCTCCTCTAGTTTACAGAGGACAGTGACGAAGGAGACTGTCCCTCTGGGCACATCCCTTTGCTTATTAGAAAGTTTCACATTTTACAAATAAGTAGGTGTGCATGAGGAATACATTATTTAAATAAAGTCAACCTTCACCAACTTTATATATATATACATATATATCTGTATATATATGTAGGGGGGGGAGGGAGAGAGGGTTCCTCCTGGCCCTAGAATTTTATTTATTTATTGTTTATTTTATCTTTTAGAGATACTGGGGTTTGAACTCAGAGCATCACGCATGCCATGCAGGCACTCTACCACTTTGAGCCCCTCCGCCAGCCCTGTTTTCTGTTGGGTATTTCCAAGATAGGGTCTCCAGAAATATTTGCCTGGGGCTGGCTTTGAACCACAATCCTCCTGATCTCTGCCTCCTGAGCTGCTGGGATTACAGGCGGGCGCCAGCAGCACCTGGCTCTGGCCCTAGAATTTTACAAGCAGAACTATCACTAGTTATTATAAAAAAAAACAACTCACAAATATATTCAAACTCTTAACTTGATTATAATGTTAATTAAAGTTAATTTAATTAAGTAGTAGTATTAATTAGGTAATATGAAACTTGAAGTGAGAGCTAAGGAGTGACAGCCAAATGGACAACCCCCAGCACACGCTTTTGGGGAACACAGACACATCCTATCAGCACTTTGATGGTAAACATTGTTAAAAGATGAAAGAAACGCCACTACAAACACATTTTCAGGTAATACGTGCCCTTTTCCCAGAAAGCAAATGTCAATTGACCAGGACTTGTCTGGTAACTGGAGGTAATCAATAACTCCTCGGGCTCTGCGCTCAGTGGGTCATAGGGTAGGATAATTCAGTACTGCTTCCTGCGGGTCAAACTGTCTCCAAACGCATTCCTGACCCAAGACAGTCAAAATGCACAGGATTGGGTACCAGGGTTCCTCCCAAAATGTGACTAAGCCTCTGGATGCAGCAGCCAGGTGATTAAAGACATTAAATTCCTCTCAGAGGGGGCCTGACCATGCCTCAGTTCTCCAGCCGCAGTATGTGAGTACTCATGACCGAGCTGATTTTACAGTCAATTCAAGTCTTTAAACTTTTGGGTATCAACCAGCAGGTACTCCCACCCAGGACAGAGGTACAGATCCTCAGATAAGCAAATCCGTTTCAAAGCATGAAACAAAAAGGTAAAAACTTATGGACAATACATACCTATGGGCAAAAAAAAAAAGGTTTTGTTGTTGAAATTTTGTCATTTGTATTATTATTAGTCTGGAAATGTCTTTAATTCGCCTTCATTTTTAAAAAAATTGACACATAATCTTGTACATATCTGTGATACTGCATTGCTGTCATTTTATTATTCTTTTAATTATTTTGCAGGGACACGGAATAAACCTTGATAACCTTGGATTTGCAGCGAAAAGCTAATTGAGAAGTTAATTGCAAAGGTAATTGGAAAAACTCCACCAGATCCTACACTGACAGTTTATTGCACAAAACAAGGAAATAATTGGCGGGGGGAGGGGGGCGTGCTACAAACACCCCAAAGTTGGAATGCGGCCTGAGGAAAAGCAGTAGGCACCCTTTCTCTGCTCCTTCCTACCAGATGACCAGGAGGTTAAAATAAGAAGGCGACCCGCCCCTCGCCACCACCCGAGTGGCCTCGGGGATCGGGCCGCCCGCGTCGGCCGGGGTCGCAGCGGGAAGAGGTAGCGGGGCTCAGCAAACCCGTAAACAGAGCTTTTGGGGCAAAAGGGTGGGGTCTGAAACAGCCGCGCGCCGCGCCACCCCGGGAGGAAACGCCACCCAACAGCCGGGCTCTTTAACTCAGCAGTTCATAGATTAAAAAAACAAAAAACAAAAACCTTGAGCGAAACTTTTCCTCCTTCCAGATCGCTCCAAATAGGGGAGCTGCGGGTGCGCGAATGGGCTTCCTGGGGGGGCGTGGGAAGGACTAGCGAGCCCCGCGTCCCCCAAACTCAGGAATGTGGGGGCAAAAGCCAGAAGGGGAGGGAGTGTGCGAGGACCTCTAAACGCGAAGATTGGGGGTAAAAAGGTGAGAAACGGAACCCCAGGAAGCCCGATTTCCGGGGAGTTTGCGGGGATAAAGGGAGGAGGGATTCCTTCCCAGACAAACGCACTGAGTTTTTGGTCGAAGAGGGAGAAGGGGGCTCCAGGGACGCCCCCAAATTGGGTATGCCTAGTGGTCATAGGGAATCCCCCAATCTAGGAATTTAGAAAGGGGCAACTTCAAGCCCCCCCCATTCAAGGAGTTCGAGGCTAAGAGAGAAAGGCCCTGGGGTCCCCAAGTTTTCGGGAAATTTAGGGAGTAAAAGGAAAAAGAGAACCCCAGGCGCCCCCAATTCAGGATTTGAGGATAAAGTGAGAAGCCCGTCCTCGGAAGCCCCCAGCTCAGGGCGTTTTAGAGTAAGAGAAAGAGCGGGGTCTTCGGGAGCCCCCATCTGGGGATAAAAGTGAGAAGAGGTTCCCGGGGAGCCCCGCTCCAGGGAGTTTGAAGGAAAAAGAAGAACCCAGGCGCCCCAATTCAGGATTTGAGGATAAAGTGAGAAGCCGTCCTCGAAGCCCCAGCTCAGGGCGTTTTAGAGTAAGAGAAAGAGCGGGGTCTTCGGGAGCCCCCATCTGGGGATAAAAGTGAGAAGAGGTTCCCGGGGAGCCCCGCTCCAGGGAGTTTGAAGAGTTTGAGAGGTGCTCCTGGGCGCCCCCAATTCGGAAAGTGTGAGCGTAAGCATGGAGAGGGGTCCCCGGACGCTCACACCCCAGGAAGTTTTGTAAAAAGTGAGGCGACGGTCCCCACCTCCCCGAGTATGACGAAAAGAGGAAGGGGGCGTCGCCAGGGCCCCCCCCCAAACTCAGCCGGGCGTGCGGGACCCGGGTGCGGAGTCGAGAACCCCGGGCGTGCCATCCCGGACGTTTGGGGTGTACTTCCCGATCCCCGAGCCCCGAATGGGGTCCCCGCCGCATCCCGCACTCCCCGGCCGGGCCGGGCCCCGGGCGATCGCTTCGGTCACCTGGAGTTCGGGCCGGGAGTTCGGGCAGCGGCTCCCGCGGCGGCGGCGGCGGCGGCGGCTGCTGCGTGTTGGTCCCCGTTGGTAAGTAACAGTCTCCACGGCTACAGTCTCTATGGCGGCGGCGGTGGCGGCGGCGGCAGCTCCTCCTCCGGCTCCCGCCGCCCGCCCGGCCGCCTGCCTCTCGCCACCCGCCAGTCCACCCGCCGCGATGGGGCGGGGCGTGCACCCCCTAACGGCCCGCCCACGCCCGCCTCCAACGGGCGCGGGGAGGGCGGGGCGCGAGGCCCTGCGGCGTCTTATTGGCTGCCCTCGGTGCCTGTTACTGGGGGCGTTCCCCAGCGTGGAAAAGGGCGAGGTCTAGCCAATCTGTGCGGAGGAGGGCGGGGCCTGGCGGGAGGCGCGCGCGGCTCAGAGGGTTGGCGGTGAGGAGGCGCGCGCGGGCCGAGACAGTGGCAGGTCTTGGGGAGTCCGTTTTTTCCATCTGGGGGACTTCGGGTTATTCCACAAGCCGAATACTGGGCATGAAGGCCCAGTCTGGCTAGGTGGTCAGCGAACTGGCCCACTACCTGCTTTTTATGGCCCACAAACTGAGAATTTTAAGAGATTTTTTTATATAGTTTAAAAAATCCAAAAACTCTTCTGTGGCATGTGAAAAGTTTAGGAAATTTTTTTTATGTTATATTTCATTGAATCCTTTAAAAAAATTTCTGCTCCTGCTCTCTCCTATCCTTTTGATAATTTCCTTATGTGTGTTAGTGTGCTTCATAGTGTTCCACATTTTATTAGGACTTTGTTTATTCTGTTTTTCATATTTCATAATCTCTATTGATCTATCTTCATGTTTGCCAATTGGCTTTTTCTGCCAACTGAACCTAATGTTTATTTCCTCTTATGAATTTTATATTTTAGTTACTATATTTTTTAATTCTAGAATTTCCATTTGATTACTTGAATCTCTTGAGATGCTGTGTTTGATGAGCATTATTATCATACCAGCCTTCTTTAAGTGTGGTTTCCATTCCTTACTTAAAACATGTACTTAAAATAGCTGCTTTTCACATGATAAAAGCGAGAGCACACAAGGGAGGGGTGAGGATAGGTAAGACACCTAAAAATTAGCTAGCAGTTGTTGCCCTCAACGCAGAGAAACTAAAGCAGATACCTTAAAAGCAACTGAGGCCAATAGGAAAAGGGGACCAGGAACTAGAAAACAGGTTAGATCAAAAAGAATTAACCTAGAAGGTAACACACACACACAGGAAATCAATGTGAGTCAACTCCCTGTATAGCTATCCTTATCTCAACCAGCAAAAACCCTTGTTCCTTCCTATTATTGCTTATACTCTCTCTACAACAAAATTAGAAATAAGGGCAAAATAGTTTCTGCTGGGTATTGAGGGGGGGGAGCGGGAGGGGGTGGAGTGGGTGGTAAGGGAGGGGGTGGGGGCAGGGGGGAGAAATGACCCAAGCCTTGTAAGCACATATGAATAATAAAAGAAAAAAATAAATAAAAAATAAAATAAAATAAAATAGCTGCTTTTGAAAAAAAAAATCCAAAAACTCTTTTGTGGCATGTGAAAAGTTTAGGAAATTTTTTTTTATGTTATATTTCATTGAATCCGCATTTTCTACTAGTTTAAAGGTTGGTCAGCTGTGGCCTGAGTTCACATTCTGCCTTCCTGTCTTTGCAAATAAAGTTTTATTGGAACACAGCCACGTGCATTCCTTTGAACACTAGCGAGTGATGCAGTTTAGCAGTTGGACAAAGACGCAGGACAGAAAGCCTGATGTATTTACTGTCTGTTCCTTTACAGAAAATGTTTGCAAAACCCCCCTCTTATGTAGGGTGGTGGGTTCAGGAAAAAGGAATGGGGCCCTCTGGGCTTTTATTCTACTGAGGGGACATTAACAATAAGCAGAATAAATAAGAAAGCACAATTATATAGGACAAGGGGCTGCAATAGTAGGGGGGAATCTTGAGAGAAGAGGCAGGCAGGGGAATTCAAGGGAGAACTCCATTCATTCATTCATTCACTCAACAAACACGTTAGCATTAACTAAGATGTTCTTCTGTGCCACAAAGTGACCCAAGCATTTTTCATATGATAATTCATTAAATCTTACAATCACATCCCGAGAAAGGCTCTAGACATTATCCCCATTTTACAGATCAGGAAACTAAGGGCCAAGAAATGATTAAGTTTGCCTAAGTTAAACTGCTTATAAAGGATTCCAACCCCAGCATGTAGCACCAAAGCCACACTCTTGTCCACTCCACATGTGGCTTTTGACCACCCTATGAAGCAAGAAATGCATTTTGCTCAGAGACCCACCCTACACAAACACATCTGTACTAAACCATGTGAGTCTTGCAGACAAAATTATGCATAAGAAAAGGTGAAATTTGTGTTATGCTCAAATTCTATCCTTTAAGTAACTGCTATGGTTCAGATGGGGTTTGAGTGTGTTCCCCAAGGGTTCCTGTTGGAAGCCTGATCCTCAGTGTGGCAATGTTGGGAAGTGATAGAACTTGCAAGAAGTGGGACTTGCAGGGGGCCAGTGGCTCACGCCTGTAATCCTAGCTACTCAGGAGGCAGTGATCAGGAGGATCGTGGTTCAAAGCCAGCCCAGGCAAGTAGTTCACGAGATCCTATCTCCAAAAACCCCTTCACAAAAAAGGGCTGGTGGAGTGGATCAAGGTGTAGGCCCTGAGTTCAAACCCCAGTACCGCAAAAAAAAAAAAAAAATGCCAATGGTGATTTGCTAAATTAATTTCACCCCCTTCTTAAGGGTGGGATTTTGTGTGTTTTCATGTGAAGGAATTTTAAGCTTAAGCAGTCCATAGTAATCAGTCCCTTCCATTCTATTATTATTGTTATTATTAACAATAATAGAGATTATTGTTAATGCTAGAGATTGGATAAAAGTAAATAAATAAATAGTAAATTTATTTACCTTAAATGAAATGGTAAGTAAACTAAAACAGTACTTTTTAAATTCACGGGCTTATGGGAGATATGATGGTAGTGACTTGGGGTGTGGGCTAGCGAGGAGCCCGGGATCACCTCCCCCCGGGGTGACCAACCATCCTATCTGGCCTGAGATGGAAACATTTCCTGTGACATGGGCCTTTTAGTGCCGATGCTAGGGAATTCCCACACAGAGCGGGAAGAGTTGGTCTCCCTGGGTCTCTCTGATGAGGGGACAGTAGAGGCAAAGACAGAAGCCAGCAGCCATCTGTGCATTTGAGTCCCCCTAGCCATGGATGGGGTCCTGGTCAGATTAAGAAGCCAATGGAGGGATTGAAGAATCTGATAAAAGCTCAGTTGAACCACTGCATAGGGAGCAGAGTGGAGGTGACAAGAGAGACAGAGAGAGAGCTCAGGTGGTGGCCCAGTTCTCCTGGGCTGGAAAGAATGGCTGCTTGCATTAGATGCCTGGCTTCTGATGAGGTGGACAGTGTGGTGGGTGGGACTTCTAGAGGACATTTAGTTGCAGTGGTTTTAGTTGCAGTGGTTTGGGGGCCGGGATAAAGTTTCAGGACAGGATATGAGGAACCCTGTCACCACTTTCTGCAGTCTGTAAGTTTGTTCCAATGTAGTAGGGATGGTTGATCTGCTGTGCCCTAGGGTTTTTGTATCCACGGAGTCAACCAACCTCAACTAGAAAATGTTTGAAAGTCGGTGCCAGTGACTCAGGTCTGTAATCCAAGCTACTCAGGAGCTCTAGCACCTATAATGAGGTCTGGCAAATGGTAAACAATAAATTTTTTTTTTAACAATAAATTTTTTGATTAAATTAATAATTGAGTCAGGTAGGGTGCCAAGACTCACGCCTGTGATCCCAGCTACTTAGGAGGCAGAGATCAGGAGGATGATGGTTAAAAGCCTGCCTGAGTAAATAATTTGCAAGACCCTATCTCAAAAAAACAACCCATCACAAAACAGGGCTGGTGGAGGACTCAAGGGGTAGAGCGCCCAGGAAGTTCCAAACAGCAAAACTTGAAGTTGCCACATGCTGAGGACTGCACAGGGGTGAAGCAGGAGCACGTCGTGTGGGAGCTCCCGCCCTGCCACCCTCAGGTCTCTCCAGCTCTCACCAGTTCAGCCTTCACCTGCCTTCCCATCTGGGAACTGTACCTTTGGTGATCGCATTGGTTCTGGACTTTGGGACCATTTTTCTGTGAACAGTACAGCATAACAACAAGGCACGGAGCATTCCGTCACACTAGGCATCACTGGTCACTGATAGAAACCCTGTGGGAGGGCATGCGTGGTTCTACACACAACACACCATTTTCTGGAAGGCACTTGAGCATCCGGGCATTTGGACATCCACTGGGGAACCTAGAACCCATGGTGACTGACATAGGTAGCAATTTGAGCATGACACAAATTTTTCCCCTTTGCTCATAAATAATTTTATCTGCCAGAAACACCAAGTGAATACAGAGAAATGCACATGTCTGGGCCAAAACGTGCAGGAACACACAAAATATACACAGGACACATGTCACACACATCCAGGACCCTTGGGCGCCGAGCCACATTCTGTAGGCTCTCAAGTGGCCTCTCTTTCCACCTCTTCCCAATAAATCACGAGCTGAAACCCTCCCACGCAAACACGAGCCTTTTTTTCAAGATGAAATACAACATTTTTCTGATGGCACTGGGGTTTGAACTCAGGACCTCCTGCTTGCTGGGCAGGTGCTACCATTTGAGCCATTCCTCCAGTCTTTTTTTGTATTTTTTTCTATAATTTTTATTAGGGTATATACATTATATGGGGGGATTTGTAGTAACAATTCTGATTAGATTTATATTGTGCATTATTAGATGTCGATGCCCAGGAGCAGTATGACTGGATCATATGGCAGTTCTATCATTAGGTTTTTAAGGCATCTCCATACTGCTTTCCATAGTGGTTGTACTAACTTGCATTCCCGCCAGCAGTGTATGAGGGCTCCTGCTTTGTCACATCCTTGCCAGCACTTGTTATTATTACCCTTGATTATGGCCATTCTAACTGGGTGAGATGAAATCTAAGTGTTGTTTTGATTTGCATCTCTTTTATAACGAGGGAATTTGAACACTTCGTGTAGTTACTGGCCATTTGTCCCTCTTCATTTGAGAATTCCCTGTTAATTCATGTGCCCATTTCTACATTGGGGTGTTGATT